GAAAAGACTCCAAACACAAGTTCTCCAAAAAAAGAGATTATTGACTGGCTGGTTAAAAATGAAATTGTGTTCCAACCAACATTAACTAAAGTGGAGTTATTGAATATAGTGAAAAGAAATCGTAAGGAAAAGAAGTATTTAATAGATGAAATCATAAGAAGTTATGGACATGAAGTTCTTCGTACCCCCCCATACCAGTGTGAATTTAATGCCATCGAGTTAATATGGGCCAATGCTAAGCAGTATTATGATAGACATATTGGAAGATGTGGTCATAGCGATGAAAATGTTTTAGCTATGTGGAATGAAGCTCTGTCACAAATTACACCAGAGGTTTGGAAAAAACGTGTGAAGCATACCCATGATGTAATTTTAGAGTGGTACAACAAAACTATTACTCGTGAAATAGAACCACTGGTAATCTCATTTGATTCAGATAGCGATACTGAATCTGACAGTAGCGATTAATTTTTAATCTGAATTTGACCATAAGTAATGGAATAACATATTGAAATGTACAGTTTATTTTATTTGATATATGTTTTATATAACTTTGTAGCTTATGCTAAAATGAATAGTGGATGGCATGACATGAAATAGTACAAAAATATTTTCACGTTGGTATGCTTATTTGTGTTTGTATTTTTTTTTATAAAATAAAACCATGTTCTCAGAATCAATTGGTCGTTTTAATGGAGCTGATACCAATGTATTATTATGATTTTGGTAAGAACTCTAGGGACTCAACAATATTAGATGAAAAATAGGTTCAAAATACGTACTATTATTGTGAACAGAGGAAATGCTGTTTTTTTAATAAATATGTAATTTTATTGCAAATAGAAGTCTTAAAATGTAAATTTGTGCACGGATAATGATAATTTAAAATCATGAAATAGGATAAATAAAAATAATCACTGAAATCAGCTAACTTCGATCACATGTTCCTGACATCGTAACCTTATCATCGACGTACGTCCGGTAATTATTTCGTTACAATTTATGGTATGACGTAATCGTCATCTTTCGTGATTTCGACTATATACATTAAATCGGAGTCTCAAAATGTTTTAAGTAATGCAGCGGTTTGAATATTGCTGATTTACTGGAAGTATCCGCTTCACTTCAGATTCGTCAAAAATCGTCAAACTATTTTATGCATTACATTGTGACATTTATTTATACCGAGTTGTCATAATTTAAATTATCAGTCCTGAAATGATGGATTAATTGTCAAAATCTCAGAAGTCCTTCCGTGTAGCTTGAAAAGTACAATTTCAGTCGGGCATTCACGCAAATGAAAATAATTTGTAGTTAACGAAAATGCGAAGCATTTACCGGTAAGACCTTATTGCCAATAACGACTGTAAATATAAATATCGTAATTGCATTTTTATGCACAGGGAAATATGTCTCTTCAAATATGAAAATATGTCGTTTTCGTTGTCGGCCCAGTGATGATGGAATAATTATTGTCAGAAACCGGAAGTCCTCCTTTGTGGATTGAGAAGTACAATTTGAGCTATTTATTTATATATTTAGTCCTCCTTTGTAGATTGAAAAGTACAATTTGAGCTATTTATTTATATATTTATCAGAATTCAAGAATTTCTTATATATCGATTTATCTTGCCATGAACAACAAGTGATAAAATGGTCAGGTTTTTCTGTTAAGATTTTGTGGTGGCTGCGTGCATTGTTTGGTGATAAAGAAGCATTCAGTTTTCGTACATTTACGGTGTCAGTTAAATGTTAATTTTTTTACATTTAAATTCCAGAGGGACCACAGAGCGAATAGACCGTCGGTTATGCTCTTTTAATAATAATAATAATAATAATAATAATAATAATATATTTATTACCCAACAGATACATCCATTTAGAGGACAATGTAATTGAATACAATTTGACATTACAGTATTTTTAACTACAATCATAGCCCGCCCAGTTTCTGAAAGAAATGAAAAAAAAAAATGAATAGCTACATCTACTCACCTACATGTCTTAAATGCTATAAATTGAATAATAGTAGTCGCTGAATACAGCTAATCTATCTTTGACTCTATCATGATGAATGTCACAATTATCAGCTATGGTGTTAAAGCTGGAGCACATAAAGTACACAGATGACTTGATCATACCATTAGAATTTGGCGTTTTTAAGTAAAAAGCGAGAAATCTTCTGGAAATGCGGGACGGTACACGAAAATCAATTTTAGCTAATAAAGCTGAAGAATCAACATCACTGTGTACGAGTTGATAAACGAATTTTAAAGTATTACAAACTCTTCTCAGATCAAGAGGACGCACTTCAAATCTGAGCAACATTGCTGATTAGGGAGCCCCACGATTGGGATAAACACCATCTAATTTAAAAGTCAAGTATTTAAGAAAACTTCTCTGTACACTTTCAATTGCATTAGTATAGATTTGGTAATATGGATGCCATACACTAGATGTATATTCCAGCTTAGAACGCACCAAGGTGCAGTATAAAGCCACTTTTTATAGCGGATGATGCTATTGTATTAATATGACCTGTAAATTCTCATTTAACATCAAACAACACACTTAGATCTCTTACTTCTGAACATGCCATCAAACTGACACCTTCCAGTGTGTAATCAAAAACTATTGGATTCGTTTTCCTGGTAAAAGAAGTGGTTTTGCATTTGCTAACATTCAAAAATAGTTTATTAGTTGAACACCATTCAAATATATGATTCAGGTTAGCTTGCAAAATTAGACAGTCATCAATGCTGTTAATCTGAGCATATATTTTTGAATCATCGACAAACAACAGAGAAGGACAGATTAAGCAGTTAGGGAGGTCATTGATAAAATAAAGAGAGAGAAGAGGGCCTAAATTTGATTCCTGCGGTACACCGGATGAGGCCGAGTAAGGTGAAGATTTGAAACCATTGTAAGAAACGTACTGATTTCTATCATGCTAGTAAGAAGAAATGAATTCTAATAAATGATTGCTAAAACCAAAATGCTGAAGTTTACCTATGATTCTCGGGTGATTAATCTTATCGAAGGCCTTTGAGAAACCCATATAGACCACATCCATCTGACCCCTATTATCTAAGACCTTTATCCTTACTACAGGCTGATATTTTCGAGACAACCAAATCGAAGGCGTGCTCCTTCTACGTAGTCTGAATTCGTTGAAACTAATAGTACCGATAACACTATTCCGAGATATGCAATCAACCTACTGGCCTCCATTTTTAAATCTCTGTATACCGCATTAGTATGGATAAGAGAGAAAATACTTGTAGTATCGAATTATTAATCAATAAGAACCATATAGCCTACTGTTCAGTATTCCTTGAAAATAACGTCAAGTAGGTTAATCATTATTATGGGCTTGATTCTAAATGAGTTACGACCGTTGAAATTGATTTCGATGGCGCGTTGTGACGATATTTTTGATTCGCTATGATAATTTTGACATCTGATTATATTCATCTTCTATATTCAAATTATCATGGCAGTATCAAAATTATCATAGCTAATCAAGTATATCGTCACAAGGCGCCATCGAAATCAATTTCAACGGTCGAAACTCATTTAGAATCAAGCCCCATATCAGTGTATGGAGGAGTTTGATCCAGTTTTGCAATTCCTGAAGCATTAGACCTTCAACGAAACCGGAATAATTTTATAATCATGTTCATATTGCACATTGAAGAAATTGTAGACGCGAATAGAATTTCGAAATCGTCGTCAATCAGCATCTTGTTCCGAAAGACCTCAATGGTCTGTTAGCTAACGGGTAAGGATAATGAGCCGTATCCATAAAAGAGAAGCATATCCTCGGAAGCATAAGGTAAAAGTATAAGGTCTTGCTTTGGAGAAAAAGGTAGAAGCATAAGTACATCCTTGTTTTCATATTCATAATGATTACCTTAAACTCGCGAGGATATCCTCCAAGAAGAAGCAAAAGGTTGACTGGTATTTGTATCAGTTTTTATCAAATTAATAAGCTATTACTTTGCAAAAGTCACAAGTTTCAAAAATAAAAATGAGAAAGGACGAAGCCTTGAAGATGTTGAAAAAATACGAATCAACATTCGGTAAACCATTAGATACTAAATGCTTATTAAAAAATCAACAACATGAAATCAAGATTGAAGAAAAAAAACAGTTCTAAAAAAACTGGTAATAAAGCAATTAAATTTTTATATTGGGAAAGAAAGTTGCTGAAAGCTATGGAATGTGAACTGTAATCCAACAATTGGAAAAATTAGAGGTGCCGTTTAGGTTGGTAGTGCTCAAGAAGAATGAACTATATACCGAGCGCAGTGAGCAAACAGTTAGTAATACAGCGCCAGGAATTCAGAAGACATGGCCACCAAAAAGAAAATTAGCAACAGAGAAAGACGAAACTGAGGAAACCAAAGGGTTAACTACAAAAGAACTGCAACGTCTAGTGCTATTACAGCACTAACAAACAATTATTTTACAACAAGAGTATTATAAAACGAAATTAGAAATGATGCAGCGTCAGAAGCTCCCTGTAATTTATGATGTTCACGAAAATAAAACTTATAAATATACTTTAATCAGTAAAACTATTTATTAAAATACTCAAGTTTCTTCTGATTTGTTGATCTAGTTGGCGGAGAGGAAGTTCGCCATTCTCATGATTTCCTTCATCTTCATCTGGGTCTTGTTCAACTAGGTAACTCAAAGAGTACAATACCAGCAATAATTATTTTCGGCACATTTTCCAACTTTACGCGGCAAACACACTGTAGGAAAGGAAACCGGCGTTTCAGTTGGCCGAAACAGCGTTCAATTATAACTCTTTCTTGTTTTAAAAGCTTATTATAATTTATTTCAGCACCTGGAGTAGGATTTCTGAAGGGAGTCATAAGGCATGGCTCAATACCATAACCGTCATCACCAAGTAGTACAACATTTGCTTTATTTATTAGTTGTGATCTAGACTGTGAATTTCTCCATATTCTGGAATCATGCACTGAGCCAGGCTAACTGACATCAACACTTGTGAACATCTCTCTGGCATCACAAGTGGCTTGCACATTTAAAGTAGGTTTCCCTTCTCGGTTGATATACTCATCTCTATGGCGATATGGTTTCAGGATTCCTATATGTGTACAATCAATTACACCAATTGCTGTCGGAAATTTATAAATGCTTTGCCATATCCGCTTGGCCTCCATCAGTTCATGGTTGGTAGTTGGAAACTTGATCCATTGGTTCGACTGTGCAACTATGCTGTTAACAACTCTGTCCACAGTCCGAGATACCGTTGCTTGACTAACACCAAGTTCCTGACCAATACCTTGTTGATATCCAGGGTCACCGAGATAACGTAGACATATATTCATTTTATGAATACATGAAAGTGTTCTTCCTCGAGTTTCCTCATTCTCAACTAAAAATCTGTCCGCAAACCATCGTACAGTTGTTTCGTCGAACCGATATAATTTTCACGATCAAGTGAAGGTAAACAAGGTTTGTACGTTTTAGCAACCCTAACATCCACAATTTCCGCCATCATCGTTTGACCACCCTTCATTACGCAGTTGAGTCTGCCACTGACAGAATTTTTGAAGGATATGCTTCCTATGCCAAATATAAGGTGAAGAAAATGAATATCCTTTTACTTATGTCACTGCTTATACTTAAAAAGCAAAAGCATTTACTTCAAATTATTATAAATACCATCTGGAGGAATTCCTGCAAAATTTGCAAGTACAAGGATATCCTGTGTTTTATGAATACGGCTCAATGAATCGTTTTGGAGTTAAAATTTTAAATTGATATTCTTTGTTCTATTTCGATGCACCTCTCCGTATTCCCCGTCGTGTTAAAAAGATATCTAGGAATGTAAAAATCCCTATCATTATGCCCAAAAGAAATGTGCGTCGTGCGTGAAGCCGGTCTTAAATAAAAAAGAGCAGCGTCTTCGTTTCACAGAAACCCCAAATGAACTTGACCCTTTCAAATACCTGTACAAGGGGGCAGCTGCTACAGCTTTCAACGGCCCATAAACTTACAGTGTTGCCGTTGTGTTGCTCTCCATGTATTACACGCATGGCAGTGAACATACATTTTCTAGTATTTCACCAATGAAAATATGTATAATTCTTTCAAATGTAACAAAGTGTAGTTATCAGTTATATAAGATTTTAGTAAATCAGACTGGCCAAAGTCTAGTTTACAGTATCCTCAAAGTTAACATTTGTGGTCGTTTTCTTCTAACGAATAGGATCTGATAAAAGTTCACGAGGTTCTTTACTAGCATATTTTATAATTTTCAACTGTCCGTGATATTTTATTTCATAATTGCTTTATGACTGCTGTCAGAACGCAATTTTGTTTCACAAAAATTGCCAGTAAAGCAATGAAGTATTTTGGTTTATAAGGTAGTCGTAAGAACGATCTTAGGTAAAAAATAAACTTTAATACTGTTTTATAAACGTTCATACAACCATTTTATCCGACATTTAAGCTTACTGAACAAACTTGATCCATAATAGATTTATACTGGTATTATCTGATACGAGTTTATTCGTTAGCGAACACCAATAAAATTGTTTTATCAGCGCTATGTGCATTTATAAAATTAATTTATTAATATTTTCTTTCTGATATTATCGCTCGGTAAAGTATATTGCATTCAAATATAACAATAGAGTTATCATTAACACCGACATAATAAAAGCCTTATATAAAAGGTATTAAACAAATAAATGTTTGTAAAGATACATTTATAAAACGAATAAGGCATTGACAAATTGGTTAAGGCTTTCGCGGCCAGTTGATAAACTGCTGTCTTGATTCGGGTCCAAAGGCTGTCGTCGGTTGGAATTTCTTCCTAACGTTTCGCTAACACGAGTGGCAAGCTTCCTCAGTGGTCCTTCCATTTCCGATGCTGGATGTAGACTGACGATTTCTCTTGCGCAGGTTGTATTTATATTGGAGGATAGGTGATGTGGCTTGTTCCGCTTCGGTTGACTTCGGGATGTCGATCGGCACTGCTCGGGCGTTTCTGACGATCGGGTGCCAGATCGGGTTGAGTCTGAGGGTCTCTTCCTACCTGTTGAAGTTATCTGGATGTTTGTGAATCTCGATAGCTTCCCTGACCAGTCTATTGTGATAGCCGTTGACTGATGACAGCAACCTGCAGCTCCCAAAGTGTATCCTGTGGTCCACATTGCTTAGTGCATGTTCAGCTACCGCAGACTTCTCAGTTTGTCCTAGACGGCAATTTGCTTTGTGATCCTTGAGTCTCGTTCCCATTGATCTTTTCGTGGTTCCAATGTATACTTTGCCGCATGAACACGGTATGCGGTAGACTCCTGCAGCTGAGAGTGGGTCCTTCTTGTCCTTTGCCGATCTGATGGTTTGTTGGATTTTCTTCGTAGGCTTGAAGATTGTTTTAACGTCATGTCGATACAGGACTCTGCCAATCCTGTCCGTGACTCTTGGCACAAATGAAAGATACGCTTGAGAGATGGTGTGACGCTGTTCGGTTCCACGTGGCCCGGCTGATATCGAGCCCATTGATCTTTTGATGTCCCTCTTGCTGTAGCCATTTGCTTCGAACGCAGTTTTCAGGTGTTCAAGTTCTGTCTGGAGGTTCTGCGGTTCGCAAATCTTTCGAGCTCGTTCTGTCAGCGTTCTGATGACTCCATACTTCTGTCTTGGGTGATGATTGGAGAGAGAGTGCAGGTATCTGTCTGTGTGCGTTGGTTTCCTGTACACTGTGTGACCCAGCTTGTTACCTCGCTTCCTGACTAGTACGTCCAAGAAGGCCAGTTGTTGATCACTCTTTATCTCCATGGTAAATTGTATGCTTGCATGCCGATCGTTGAGGTGCTGCAGAAACTCGTTTAGCCTATCCGTGCCATGTTTGGAAATCACGAAGGTGTCGTCCACGTACCGGAACCAAATTGCTGGTTTGTTCTCAAGGAAGGCGGTTGACATCCCGAAGTCAACCGAAGCGGAACTAGCCACGTTACCTACCATCCGGTATAAATACAACCTGCGCAAGAGAAATCGTCAGTCTACATCCAGCATCGGAAATGGAAGGACCTTTGAAGAGGCTTGCCACTCGTGCTAGCGAAACGTTACGAAGAAATTCCAACCGACGACGGCCGAATCAAGACAGCAGTGAATAAGGCATTCATTTTTTCCGTAAATTCCGGAACGGCTCTAGATTTGTTTAATTTTTAAGCGGAGTAAGGTTAGGCATTGAAATACACATGTTTGCCTTACTTTAAGCGACCTATGCTATCCCTATACCGTTTGCGATGTTAAAACTTAACTACGTAGACCAAAGTTGAACAATTTAGAGGATGTCGCAGAATAGCATGTCAATCTCTCGTACGCTCTACCGCAGGGGTATATGTCACAAACCTATAAAACGTCAAAAAAAAAACAATAAAACGTCATCTTGCAAACTTGGTGGTAAATCTTCACTATGTACCTATCCACTGCCGTTTCCTTCTAGCTATAGTATATAACATACAGCTCAGACCTCAACGCCATCTCTGAAGCAGATTTTACATTACGTCAGAGAAAAACCTTCATAATGCCATAAACAGACAATATAAAATCGGTATAATGTCACTTTTCAAGATTCGTAATACCCGTGCCGGACTCACCTTTGGAGATCAGGTCCCAGGTTTTTCATGAATAAATTTTGAGCTACACTGCAGCATTCAAAAAAAATTTGTCAGCTTACTAACTAGTTTCAGCCTCACAGGGTGGTGTCCATGAAAAAGTATTGATTCATTTAGATGACCAGGGAAGGACTATGATGATTCTTTCTGATCTGCCTCAGTATGTCAAGAATACATTTTCGATATTACGTTCAATCTGTCACTTGTGAAGTCTAATATTCCATTCAAAATTGGATTATGTGGCAACCTCGCCAACTAACCTCACATTCTACGCTATGCTATGTAAACTGAAAATTATTGATGTTTTAAACTTATATTTGTGTCAATGTAAAAACGTTTATGTACTCTCAAGAATTGTTACTCAACTCAGGTAATATTAAAACTCCATTTTTATTATCTAATATACACCATTTGGATGATGTTCTGCATGTTCTTTCTGAGAATGCAGATGCTTCGAGGGAATATTCAGGTAAAGACCAGTTCAGAGCCACTATCAACCATGCTTACAATATTTTAAATAGCACAGAACTATTCACCGATGAAGAGACCCACACTGTCATTCAATTTATTTGTGAGCAACTAAAGCTTGCTATTAGTCAGAAAAACAGACACAGTTACTCATCAGAAACAATAGTGTTTTGCTCTATGTTGTATACAAACAATCCACATTCATATAGATTTATTAGCAGCCATGGAGCACTTATTTTACCACACCAAAATACTCTGAAGTCAATATGTAATACATTGATGGTCGATCCAGTTCCCGATGAGAGATATAACTTTTTAGGCTATGCAAAAAACCTTTTCAGATTTGTAAAACCTGGCGAGGAGTACATGATTTGATTGATGGATGAAATACACATTCAGCCATATTTAGATTTCAAAGGGGGTAATATTGTCGGAACGTCAATTAATAGTACTTCATTAGCTACAACAGCCTATGTGTTTATGATTTCAAGCTTCTACTCCAATTTCAAAGAAGTTGTTCAAATCTGTCCTGTTTCTAAAATTGATCATAATCTATTATACAATATGACAAAAAAACTTATTATTGGATTAGAAGAACTCGGTTATAAAATTTTCTGTGTTGTAAGTGATAATAATGCACTGAATAGTAAAGCGATGGCACAGGGCACATAAATTCTGTGAAAATGATGATTTAGAAATAGATGAAATTCCACACAATTTTAATTATTACCACTTTTTCCGGGAAATTGAAATTTTACAGTCTGATATTGATAGTGTAAAGGATGAAATCTCTGTCATCACCTACTTAGCTGGTTACTGTTGTTATGCCCTCAATACATTTTTGAAAAATTATTATGCCAAAAGGAACGACAGCTTTGCAAACGCGAATACAGCAAAGAAACGTAAATTGACTACATTCACATGAGGCCGCAACATTTACATAGCTGTAGATAAATGTTTATTTGTACATAATCAGAATTTAGCACTTTAATTTTCGTTATTCTAATTTTTGTTATTTTTGATACTTGTTTTCTGTTTCCTAATTTTTGTTATTATTTTGTGCTGTTATTTGTTTGTTGTAAGACTTTTTATTAAGTTTTCGTTAATCTTTGTTATGTTTTTCTGTTGTTTATTTTACTTTGATTTTATCTGTTTTTCTTATCATTTATCCTACACTTTTTCCTCCTCATCTTCCTTATTCCTTTCCTGGCAAGAGCTCACCTCAGACC